GCAGCCGGCAGCAAGTGGGCTGCCCGAGGCGCTGTCTGCGGGGCGAGCAGCGGTGATTGCCTGTGATTGCTCTGGAGAACGCGTGTGCGTGCGCCGTGGACCCGTCCCATGGTTCTTCGTTGGAGGTGGGGCTCCTCGTCTGTCCCACTGACTGGGGCTCTGGTTTCGGGGGAATCTTGTCTAATTAAAAAGTTAGTCCCCCTTGTCCTCCCAGACAAGCACAAGAGAATTTATTTGTGTGTTCCCTTGTGGTTTCTTCCTATTGCTCGTTACTGCTCGTTACCATAACCCAGTTTTATTTAACAGTGCTCTTTTGCAACAAACAGCAGCTCCCAGGACCACGCAGTAACAGCATGGGATCGATAGCCAAGCAGTGCTCTGTTCGCAGGGTTTCCCTTGGCAGTGCTTTCTTCTCATCCCCTCCTGATTCTGATTTTGTGGTTTATTTTGTACTTTAAACAGCCTGCCTTAATACCTTATTGATATTTGACTGAATTGATGCTAATCAGCAAAGATAAAAGCAATTTATCATTGAATTTACGGACAGAAAAATAATATCATTCAAATTTTGTTGCAGAAACCCATATATCTATAGGGGAAATGTGTACATAAAAGAGTCTCTTTCCTTTAAGAGTATCTGATAAATGCAACCTATGTACTCTGGTTATAGTCCTTTTTCAACCATTAGCGATGGGATTGACTGGCTGAGTGATAAAAGACGTACTAATTTTCCTCCCTTCATTTGATTCAGCACATTTTCCTGCAGTGAGGCAGTAGAAAGGAATTTTAAATAAGACTCTATTACTGTTAGAGTCTGCCAGGTTAATTGTATTAGGACACCAGTAACATTTCAAGTGTTGTGGTCTCATACACCACATGATCCAGTGGCCAATATCCTGTAGGTATAGGATTTGTCTGCGGTGGTAGGTAATTATCTTTATTGGATATTGGATTTATTTTTAGAATGAGGTAGAACTTATCAATGCTAAACACAAAAAATGAGGCTAAAACACATTGAAGATCACAAATCTTTGAATAACTTTGTGTTCCTTTTTGAAATCTCCTGTAACCTGAGTGCTGTTAGGTGAACTCTCATGATTTTGATGGTATTGCCATTCAGTGTTGTTCTAACTAGGGTTTGAATGAGAACCATGCATCTCGACCTCTCAGAGCTTTGGGCTTATCTCCAAACTTTGCTTTCCTACTTGAACGAGCAGTTCCAGGCAAAACTCACTCAGCAGCTGAGAACTAAACAGCACATGCATATGTATAGACCTGTACAGAGCAAATCATCTGAGTTTCTCTACTTCTGTTCTTATCGTGTCATCCCTGGCCTCAGGTATAGCCTTTAGCTTTCCTGCACTCTGAATGATACACGGAATACAAGCTTTGTGTGGAGTAATATTCTGGTTCGTGGTGCTGCTCATCACATCAAGAAGCTAGTGTATTGGTAAGGAAAAAAATCCATGAGAAAAAAGCTCATAGCTGATTGTTAGACTGTCTCAAAGGGACACTTGGTAAATAATTGCATCAAATGAGGTCACTTAAAGAGGAACAGCAGATAGCAGCTGCATCCCCTGTTGTGTTGAGCAAATGGGTTTATTAATAGGCTGCTGCCAGGAGAACTGGAGCCCAGTTCTGGGTGCCTCCGGCACACAATCTGTTGGCTGTGAGTCTGGGCAGGGCTGTGCATGCTGGTTTAGGGCTCCTCTCTACCTTGCTACTATGGTCAGTTCCCTTGGGTGCTTGGAGAAGACAAAATGTCCATCTTGAAGAGCTGAGTGTGAACCCCAAGGGGAACAGGCAGCGTTTATCCAGAGCTCCGAGCTGGATTTCCACTGCTGTATTGAGTTACCGATTGCTCAGCCAGCTGGGACTTCGTAGCAAGTGAAGGGATCTTCCAAGATCCCTTGGAGGGATCTTACGTACGCGAGTGTTGGCTGGGGCAGCGTAGGCTTTACGGACGGTTTTCAGAGCACCAGCACAGATGTGACATGGGTGATTTCTGGAGCTGCACCCCTCCATAGTCAAAGTGGCAGCTGGTTTT